CCACAATGCAGCTAAGTGAGTTGGCCCACCCCGGTCAATACCTAAGGCTCTGCCCCTTACTATGTAACAGGTGCACCAAATAAAAAACAATGGCCCAAATGAAAGAACAGATCAAAGCTACAGAAAAAATACAACTAGGCAATGAAGAGATAGACAACCTGTCAGACGCACAGTTCAAAACACTGGTAATCAGCATGCTCACAGAATTGGTTAAATATGGTCACAAAATAGGGGAAAAAGTGAAGGCTATGAAAAGTGAAATAAAAGAAAATGTACAGGGAACCAACAATGATAGGACTCAAATCAATGGTTTGGACCAGGAGGAAGAAATAAATAGTCAAACAGAACAGAATGAAGAAACAAGAATTCAAAAAAATGAGGAGAGGCTTAGGAACTTCCAGGACAACTTTAAATGTTCCAACATCTGAATCGTAGGGGTGCCAGAAGGAGAAGAGGAAGACCAAGAAATTGAAAATTTATTGGAAAAAATGATAAAGGAGAACCTCCCCAATCTGGCAAAGGAAATAGACTTCCAGGAAGTCCAGGAAGCTCAGAGAGTCCCAAAGAAGTTGGACTCAAGAAAGCTCACACTAAGGCACATCATAATTACATTACCCAAGATTAAGGATAAGGAAGGAATCTTAAAAGCAGCAAGAGAAAAGAAGACAGTTACCTACAAAAGAGCTCCCATAAGACTATCAGCTGATTTCTCAAAAGAAACCCTACAGGCTAGTAGGGGCTGAAAAGATGTATTCAAAGTTGTGCAAGGCAAGGACCTACATCCAAGATTACTCTATCCAGCAAAGCTATCATTTAGAATGGAAGGACAGATAAAGTGCTTCCCAGATAAAGTCAAGTTAAGGGAGTTCAACATTACCAAGCCATTATTACATAAAATGTTAAAGGGACTTATCAAAGAAAAAGAAGATCAGAAATATGAACAGTAATGACAACAAGCTCACGACCATCAAAAACTGAAACTAAAAAAAAAAAACAAAAAGAAACTAAACAAACAACTAAATCAGGAATAGAATCACAGAAATGGAGATCACATGGAAGGTTATCTGTGGGGGAGGGGGAGGAGGAGAAAGAGGGAAAAGGTACAGAGAATAAGATGCATAAATGGTAGGTACAAAATAGACAGGAGGAGGTTAAGATTAGTACAGGAAATAAAGAAGACAAAGAACTTATATGTATGACCCATGGACATGAACTAAAGGTGGGGGGGGGATGCTGGTAGGAGGGGGTGTGCAGGGCAGAGGGGAATAAAGGGGAGAAAATGGGACATCTGCAGTAGCATAATCAATAAAATATATTTAAAAATAAATAATTTTTTGTGGGGTACACTATATGTAACTATATGTGTTAGATATTTGCATTCAAGTTTCTGGCTAGTAGTCTGAATAGTACGTATAAACAGGGAAGTCATACTGGTTGTTTTGGAATTATCTCATTGATTATTGATTTGGCAATCTACAAAGTAATTCACCATAGTTTTAAGTGTTTTGTTCCAACCTGGGTCCTCAAACCTGTCTTCTGGAGTTCCCATGATATGAAACTGTAGTTATTTATACTAGCAAAAGGCACTGGGTTTTAGGTTTTACAAAGTACAGCTTAATCACTTGAATTATGATGTAATTCCATTAAGTATATTGTGATCCCAAGCATGGTGGTCTTCTTTGTCTTAATGGATTATTAGCTTTTTGAAAGGAAAGGAAGTGATCTCTATTTCCATCAATATGCAGGTTTTACTGTGCAGGAACTCTGGCATATTTCCCAGAGTGCTTGATAATCTTGAAAATATTTGGTATGAAAAAAGTCATTCAAATATACTCACTACATTTTATTGCTGGCCAAAATACATGTTTGTTAAACAATGGTATTGCTTAAGAGCTGTCCTGGGTTGAATAGTGTCTTCTAAAGTTCATGTCTGTTAGGAACCTGTGAATGTTGAGTTTATTTAAAAATAGGGTCTTTGCAGATATAATCAAGTTAAATTGAGGACATACTGGATTATGGTGGGCCCTAAATCCAATATGACCAGTGTCCTTACAGTAGAGGGAAATTTGGACACAACGACAGATGCATGGGGAGAACATCATATGACGACGGAGGCAGAGACTTCCTGATGCATCTATAAACCAAGGAACATCGAGGACTGTGGCAACCACCAACACTAGGAATAGTAAAGGAAGCATTCTTTCCCAGGACACTGCTCACACCTTGATTTTGGATATCTAGACTTCTTAACTCTGAGAATACCTTTCTGTCATTTTAAGCCATCATGTGTGCTACTTAGCCATGGCAGAACCAAGAAACTAATATAGGAACCTTCCTGGACACTGTACAGCTTCTTATATTTCCTTCGTGAAGTATTCTCTTAAGAGACTTCTATTTAATGGACTTGACAGATTAATCCCTTTCAGGGGTTAAACAAAATATCTTGGGATAGTATTCTATTATTCAGATTCTATACAGTTCTATATCCACCAAAAGAACTGTATACTTACACCCCAGGCCACTTACTATTGCTTTACATGATTTAATCAAATTTTATATAACTGGTGAAATATGAATGCAAAAGGAAAGACAGCTGCTGTTTCCATGAAAACTAGGTTGGAGACTTTAGAAACTCTGGACAAGGGTGAGTCATGTAAAAAATGCAATCAAATTAGATGTTGGTGAGGTAACTATAAAAGATTGAAAAATAATGAACATCTAGAAAATATGCTCATTCAGATTGCTTTGTAAATCCCTTGAAATTCTTACTTCGTTTTAATAAAAATAAAATCAGATCTTAAAAGATATACCATGGGTGTGGTTTATGTAAGAATGCACTTTGTGGAACTATCCTATAATTCTACACGTTTATCAACTTTTTCTATTAGCCACACAATCGTAACTTTGGACTATAATAAATAAGGTTTCCACTATAAATATAGGTTTACTACACCATGTAGTTATTCACTCACTTATTAGTCTATAAGCTTTGCGAACACAGAGCCTGTATCCGATTAACTCTCCATTCTATCCTTAGTACTCAGTATTATGCCTGGTATACAGCAGCCTCTCCCAAATTATTTTTTTGAATAAATGAACACAAGATGTAATTTCCTTGTATCTGTTTTCCTTTTTTAAAAGAATTATATCATGATCAATAAAGTTTTACTATGGGCTGACATAAGCCATAAAAATGGACTCATTTTAGAGAACTCAATTTTTTAGAGGCTTTTACTAAAATGGGGTTTTACATACATATACATGAATATTATCATTTTTACTATATCATTGTCATAGCCCCAATATGTATTTCATATCATATCTTTCTGAAAATACTCAACTTGCTCCTATTCCACATCTCCATGTAATTTCTCTAATGCTACAGTATTATTTCTCCCAAGTCTGCAGACTAGGAACCCGAGATAGATAAGTTATGTTCTTAAAGGCAGATTCCTGGTTATGTTTCAAATTCATGAGCTTTCAAATTATAGATTAGTACCGACATTGTCATTGATTAGGCTGTACTCTTGAAGAAACTATTGACACTCTCTGAGCCTTAGTTTCTCCAGTTATCAGATGAGGATTTTTGACTGGATGATCTCTGGAATACCTCCTAGCCCTAAGTCCTCATTTTCAGCACCAGAAAATTCTGGGTTTCCCTGTGCATAGAAAAAAATGTGACTTCTCACTGCTCTTCTTTCCAATACAGGAGACAGAGAACAACACATAGAGCTACTTGAAGAATGACAGAAAGGGTAAGGTCGAGACATGTTAGGGAGTATGGAATGGGAAAAAGAAGGGAACGTAAAACAGAGGGTGAATTTAACATCACACTGCCAGTATAAACTCTTCAAAAGAAATACAGTGAAATATTTCATGCTCACATAACCCAGGAGAATTTTGCAATTACTTGCCTGTAGCTGTTCAATGTTAAGTTTCAAGGGGCTTGATGTATGCAGCTTAAAAAATTGAACACTTAGTCAAGTTTTCATATTTTATTAGCATAAGTAGAATATAATTTTATGAAGTTATATCATAAAACAATTGCTATACAACTTTTAAATCTTGATCTGAATAAATTTATAATTAAGTTTCATACCTTAAACTATGGATAATATTAAGATAGAGACGACCAATACAGGTTCTTTCCATATGCTTTTCCCTATGTCTTTAATTACTTAACTAACTTAATAGGAACCATTGAAAAGAAATCTTAATACATTTGATAAATAAAAATGATGTAGGATTTCAGAAGGTCCAATAAGACAGAATTTACAACTGGAATTCTGTTTAACTGCTGGAGTTATATTTTTGTCTTAGAAAACTTTCATCATGGAACACAGCTGTGAAACAACTTTGGCTTCAAACAGAAAGGCTATAATAAAGCTCATCCTAGCTAGACTTAGGTTCAAGAGGTTTATGGTGGCAAACAGCAGAAAAGATGAAATGTTTCAATAAGCCCCTCAGGCTGATTTAGTTAGCATTCACAAAGTGGAATAACCTATACATCACATACCCTTTGTTAGATGGTTGTTTGGAATAGATGTATGAGTCACTGGATTTTATTTTAGCAGTTGGGCAATGCAATTCTCTTTTTGCCCAAAATATTAAAATGTTGAAATGTGAAACTGAAAGGTAATGTCAGATCTTATACAGGATGCTTATCAAGCACTGTGATGCGTCAAGAAATTCTTCTGCTTTTGTCATTCCACGTTTTACCTTGATAGGCACAAGTGGTAAATTACGTCATGTAAAAAAAATGTATGCTATTAAACTAATCAGCAAACTACAGTATGTTTTTAAAAATTGTTTGTGGGGGGAGGAGAGGTGTTAGAGAGGGACAGCTTCCAAAACCCAAAGAAAGTGGTATGAGAGAAGGATAGGTAAGATTCTCTCCTGCATGATTTCAAGAACAAATGAATCCCTCTGGGAGTTTGGGGGATTAATATATACATGTATATTTTTTTCTCTCAGACACTGCTCAGAATTAATGAGAGTACCTGCAACGATGCTGGCAAGCTGCTGGGTTCTGGTGATGGGGTAGATGCTGCGTGCCTGAACGATTGCTGAAGCGATTTTCTTGGCATGCTTCTCCTCCCCGTATGTTCTCAGGATGGATGCAAGTGCCTGTTGATCTAAAGCGTTCACAACATCAGCTGCGGTGGGCATGTCAGGGTACCTACGCACAAGAAGAACCAATTAGTTCATTGACGTCAGTTTTCATTGACAAGAGGTGAAATTTCAGAGTAATGAGACATAAAGTCAGGCATACACACATTGTCTAAGAGAGCTTCTGAGGTTTTTAAAGTCAGAGACTGGAATCTTAAAGGAAGGAAATAGGTTTCGCATTTCAAATACTCATCATGATGGCACTTGGGGAGTGTGTATTCATCAAGGTCAAGGGCACCAGGAAGTTAAAATACAGTCTGGCACAAAGAACACCCTTTTTTTTATTACAAAATCTTTTATTACAAAGTCATAAGCATGTAATTCTATAACATAACAATATCACACTCAAGCACACCATATGACATTTTAGGTGAAATATTCAAATTGAAACTATAAATTATTACACCCGTATTATTACCCTACCAATCACACTCAAGCAGGCTTTACTTCTGCAGGACCCTGAATTTTACTAACCTTTAATTCACGAAGAAGTTATTGCTCATACAGCTTTCTCCTAAACTAAAATAATGGAAATGCTCGGATTTAGTTTGTTCAAAATTTAAATTGATGCTTAAATTTTTTCACTATAGAAGATACGAGGCTTACTGACTAATATTTAAACAAGCCTAGATCTCAGGAACTGAGACTGTCCAGTAACTGACTACTTATATTGGAGCAGAAATTAAACATAGAAAATTTCCACAAGTCCTACCTTATCCTAGGCAATATATTCCAAGACCCCTACCAAAAATTTGACACCACAGACAGTTCAGAGCCCTATATAAACTACATGTACATACAGGCACTCTGTAGCTTCCCTTTGGCATGTCTGAATTGCCAACATGACTACTTTGTGGCCATTATTAAGTAAAATAAAGGCTACTTGAACACAAGCACTGTGATACCACTACAGCTGACCTGATAACAACTGGCTACTAAGTGACTAAGGAGCAGTTAGCATAGATAGCATAGATATGCTGGACAAAGGATGATTCATGGGCCAGCAAGACAGAGTAGGACACCTAGAGGTTTCACCTTGCTACTCAGAATAGCTCCCAATTTAAAGCTTATAAGTTGTATGTTCTCTTTGGAGAAGTGTCTCTTCAGGTCTTTTGCCCATTTTTTAATTGGATTGTTTGCCTTCCTGGTATGGAGTTGTGTGAGTTCTTTATATATTTTGGAGATCAAACCCTTGTCTGAGGTATCACTGGCAAATATTTTCCCATATAGTTGATTCCCTTTTCATTTTGCTGATGTTTTCTTTAGTTGTGCAGAAGCTTTTTATTTTGATGAAGTCCCATTTGTTTATTCTTTCCTTTATGTCCCTTGCTCTAGGGGACATATCGGTGAAAATATTGCTGTGTGGAATATCTGAGATTTTCCTGCCTATGTTCTCCTTGAGGACTTTCATGGTGTCACAATCTATATTTAAGTCTTTTATCCATCTTGAGTTTATTTTTGTGTATGGTGTAAGTTGGTGGTCGAGCTTCATTTTTTTGCATGTGGCTGTCCTGATGTCCTAACACCATTTGTCAAAGGGGCTATTTTTACTCCAGTTTATGCTTCTGCCCCCTTTGCCGAATATTAATTGACCATAGAGACTTGGGTTTATTTCTGAACTCTCTATTCTGTTCCATGATCTGCGTGTCTGTTCTTATGCCAGTACTGGACTGTTTTGATTATTGTAGCCTTGTAATATAGTTTGAGGTAAGGTATGGTGATCCCTCCTACTTTGTTCTTCTTTCTTAAAATTGCTGCAGCTATTTGGGGTCATTTATGGTTCCATATAAATTTTTGAAATGTTTGTTCTATATCTGTGAAATATATCACTAGTATTTTAATAGGGATTGTGTTGAATCTATAAATTGCTTTGGGTAATAGGGACACTTTGATGATGTTAACACTTCCAATCTGTGAACATGGTACATGTTTCCATTTATTTGTGTCTTCCTTAATTTCTTTCTTTAGTGTTGTGTAGTTTTCTGAGTATAGGTCTTTTACCTCCTTGGTTAGGTTTATTCCTAGGTACTTTATTTTTCTTGGTGCACTAGCAAATTGGATTTTTTTTCTGATTTCTGTTTCTGATATTTCATTAAAACCACAATGAGATACCACTTTGCACTGGTCAGAATGGCTATCATAAAGAAATCAACACACAAATTGCTGATGAGGATGTGGAGAAAAGGGAACCCTAGTACACTGTTGGTGGGAATGCAGACTGGTGCAGCCACTGTGGAAAACACTATGAAATTTCCTCAAAAAACTAAAACTGAAGCTGCCTTTTGACCTGGCAATTCCACTGCTGAGAGTATACTGTAAGAATCCTGAAACACCAATTCAAAAGAACCTATGCACCCCAATGTTCATAGCAGTGCAATGTACAATAGCCAAGTGCTGGAAACAGCCTAAGTGCCCATCAGTAAACAAGTGGGTCAAAAACTATGGTACATTTACACAATGGAATACTACACAGAAACTCCTACCCTTCACGACAGCATGGATGGAACTGGAGAGCACTATACTCAGTGAAATAAGTCAGCTGGTAAAAGACAAATAGCATATGATCTCACCTGTAAGTGGAACCTAATCAACAAAACAAACAAGTGAGCAAAATACAACCAGGGACATGGAAATAAAGAACAAACTGACAGTAATTGGAGGGGAGGGGGATAATCAGAGAAAGAAGGGGACGGGTCAAGTCAAGAAGCATGTATAAAGGACCCATGGACAAAAACAACAGTGGGGAGAATTGAATGTGGGAGGTAAAGGTGGGTAGGGTGGGGGAGAGTAATGGAGGGAAAATGGAGACAACTGTAATTGAACAACAATAAAAAATCATAATAAAGAAACCCATGTCATGTAAAAAAGAGTTTATGAATTATTTATTACTGAAATTTTCCATTTAATAGTTTCAGACCATGGATGACCCCAGGTAACTGAAACTGCAGAAGGTGAAACTGGGGGTAAGGGAGGACTATTGTACAAGAAGATACTGCTGGTTAATTTCCCTCACAAAAAATAGAACAATCTTAATGATAATAATGTATATTATCTCAAATGTTTAACAGTATTGGCTCCTACCTCCATGAAAAAGACATCATGGGGTAAAACTTGTTAATCAACAATTCAAACCAGCCTACATGGCAATTTCATGTGAAGAAGACAAAGAAATAGCAAGTTCTGTTGAAATAAAATAAATCATAGTAGCAGAAAATAGGATTCACTCTGTCAGACCATGCCAGTTTACCTTACTTAAGAGAAATGGGTCAAGGAATGCTAAATGATGGGTTAACTGAAACCTTACTTACTAGAAAGATAGCTTTGCAAATAGTACAGTTACGACTTGTAGTTAATATGTTGGATTGATTGTTGGTACCACACTCTGAGGACTTTAGGTAACAAGAACATGGCAGCTTGGAGACCTGAGGATCAAATCAAAGTTAAGGTTGCCAAGAAACCCAAATCCTTCCTTAAATACATTACATTGCACCTTGTTAGCACGCCTAGGTCCTCCAGGAGAAAATGTTGCTATTGTCTTTGGCTTGTCCCCTCCAGCTCCATCTCTCTCTCTCCCTCTCTCTCTTTCAAAACTTGCTTTCCAGATCACGTGATTCTGGTTTGCTTCTGGCTCCATGGTACCCCAGATGAATGCACATCCTATGAGGTTGTGCGGATTCTATTTCAAAAAGGCTTGCTCCTTCAGTAATAGCTTTAAGGATAAATATGTGGTCTTTAGCATCCAATTGAACTAGATTTAGAATCCTGGCTTTGCTACTCCTGTTGGATAAGCTTTTTAATAGAGTGGAACCTCAATTTCTAACCTGTAAATGAAAGTAACAATGCTTACCTCACAGAATTGTTAGGAGAATTAATGGTGCATATAATTGTAAAACAAATACTATAATGCTTGGCCCATATAAAAGCTCAATGCATGTCAACGTCCCTTAGATTTTTCCCATTCTTAGATTTGTCGATCATTACTTTTGGCCTAATTGACAAAATCCCCAATAGATCTTACCTAGTTGTGAATTCAATTGCTCAAACCACTGAGCATTAGAATGAACCTTGCAAACAATGGTAAATTCAGACTCCATAGGATAGAGTTCAGCTCAAACAGGACAATCTAAAATTAGTATGGATGTACTTGGCAATTTTTTATAATACCTTTCTACTCTGAAGAAAATTAAAAGATCATTTTATGCAAATACACTTCAGTGGATAATAGGCCTAATTTTATTTCATTGTACTGTTAACACTGAACAGTGGGGCAGAAGTCTCTGTTAGGCAAAAGGGGCAATGCTCGGGAAAGCCAGCAGGCTACTAGGAGTCTTCAGAATAGGCGTTCATATATGTGAAGAAGTCAAGATACAAAATCTGCTCCCCCATCCCAACTTAACAGGTTAAGATATCTGTCAGTCCTCCAGAGATCACGGACCTACAATGCTTACACTCATGAGAGAAAGAAAATATGAATCTAAGAGGCAATTTATTTATTGCTCTCTAATGAAGAATACAACCAACACAGGGCTACACCCACAATTCCCTAAAGCTGTGAGCCTCTTTCTACTATGCGAGAACCTTACTGTGATCTTAAAGATGTTGCTGAAATTGGGAGAGCACAAATGAAACTCTGCTCCAAGATTCTCGTGCTATCTAGTAACAGGTTAAGAGAGCCTCTTGAATCCATATCCAATGCAGGGATATGTCAGCCTCCATGATGTGACTGGCCATAGTTTGCTGGCTTGGACTCCCTTTCCCCATAACACATTTTGGACTAACATTGCACGTATTTCCATCTCTGACTCCACTTTCTATAAATCTGTGTGAGCCAACTCCCCCTTTCTGCATGCCACATACTTTCTCCAGATGTGTTCATATCTTTGGTTAAGTTACAGTCCATGCCATCTCACTGGAAGCCGACTTGATTTTTAAGATATATTTTCTCACTTCTAATGCCATCCACGATGTGTTGGTATAGAGTTTACTTTCTCAAAGCAGTCTCATTTTCAAGTTCTTAGAGGAGAACTTCGGGAACCCTGATTCTCAAACTAAAATTTGATGATAAATCTTTACATTAACAATTTGGGGATTTAGTACTATTAACTAGAAGCTTCGTTCACTGTGTTTCAGAAGGTATCCTCCCTAGCAAGACATGGAAACAGCAGAAATTTGCTTGACACTTTATTACCTCTGCACAACCTCAACCTCCAAACATGAGAAGATATTTGATCTTTACTATTAGTCACTGGTTTTAAAAGATTTTTATTATTTTCTTTTATGATCACATTCTTCATTCTATGAATGCCAACTTGTGCAAAAGAAGATAAAAGACTCAGAACAAAAAGATTCCGACAAGTATGGGTCACAATCTCAGTTAACAGGTCCTACCGAAGCACAGGGGAAAAACTATATGTGAATAATTACCATAGGATAAAGCAGTTTGTGGGACGAAGTTAAAGTCAATTCGATAGTAATTTGTTGATTTAAATTGAATGTTAAATTTCTTATATACAGATCCTTCAAATTGGAAGAAATTTTGGAAAACCTGTTTGTTTCAGTAGAAATATTTATATAGGTATAGAATTGTAGATTAGAAACAGTAACTGAATCATTTGCTTACTTGGATATATGAAAGTCTAACATTCTTCTTAGAAGACAAGCTTCACAAAGGTAGGGGACATGGCATAGAACCTGGTGGCAGTGGGGGTGGGGACATGTGATGAGGTAGAAAGGCATGGGTGAGTTTTGACCAAACAGGCTGGTTAGTCCCTGGGCCAGTGTTGGGCCTACAGACAAGTGCAAACCTAAGCTCTCAAAAGTAATCTGGAATCAAAAGAAAGTATCCAGTCCTTTCCCAGAATGTGATCCTCTTTGTGTCTTTTAATACGTATGCACCTAATGAAGAACTTGACAATGAAGAACAAATGCTAGTACTCCCAGGGTGATGAGGAATGAAGAGGAGGTATAAACTATCCTATTTGCAGTACTGTGTTTGACATAGTACCGTAAATTGTAGTCTCTCCGAAGAGGGTGGAAACAAAGTCACTGTATAAGACACAGGATAGAACACACAATTGCAGACCTCCAGGATTTGACCTTAATGCAGTATTCAACACAATCTGCCTTAGATACAGTTCCTTTTTACTTCTCACAACAGATATAGTTGGGCCTGCATAGAAATGGAGCCACTGTTTCAGTACCATACCTATCACCATTGTCAGTAGTCTAAAAGCTCACACTGTATCCATAAAAGAGATCATCAGTATGAAAGTTACCCTCCTCACTATTTTGTGTAAAGACAGCAATGGTTTTTCTTTCAGAATCCCAAATCTAGAGAAACATGCAAAGCTACAATGAGTAGCAAACAAAACTGATTTATTATATATGGATAGTGTTAGGTGTGGGCGTATAATGGGAATTCTGCTGTCTTAAAAGGAAATTAAATTCAGAATGGTTTTGAGAAATTGATTTCTTGTTAGGAAAGATGCTTTATAGATACTCACCTGCTACCATCCATTCTCATGTCCAAAGGGCCATCCTTACGAAGGGAAAAACCTCTTTCAGGAGCATCAAGTTGCATGGAGGAACATCCAAGATCCAGAAGAACTCCATCCAAAGTCCCTGGCTGCACGCCAGCTTTCATTAATAAGGCTTCTGCCTGGCTGAACTGGCCTAGAAGAGCTTGGACCTGTTTACTGTGAATAAACCCAGGAGATGCAGAAAACAATGCTGTTACATTAAAGTCTTTCTTAAGGTCTATGCTCAGTGGAAGGAACACATCCTATTATTAAATTATTTAACCAATATATATTTACTAAGTGCCAACCAAATGCTTGGTACTATATAAAGATATGTGGACACAGAAATTACACCTTTGGTTTTAATACCAGGGGCGATTTAATGTGATTTTACTCTTGCTAATGAACACAATTTATTTTATACCTCTCTGAAGATATACAATAAGTTGATGAATAAAAAAAATTCCTTTGTCAGACTAGGTATTTCATTGTTTCTTTAAAACTTATTAAATCTATGCATCAGGAAAAGAAACATATATAAATCTATAAAAAGAACAAATTTAAACATAACAAATGCTGACAGGAATGTGAAGAAAAGGGAACCCTTATGCACTGTTGGTGGGAAATACAGCCACTGGGGAAAAGAGCATAAAATTTCCTTAAAAAATTAAAAATAGAACTGCCATGTGATCCAGCAATTACACTTCTGAGAATCCAGCCAAAGGTAATGGAAAGACTCTTGTGAAGACATCTGCACCCCCATGTCCATCACAGCATCGCGTATGTTTACAACAGCCACAACGTGGAAATAACCTAAGTGTCCATCGGTGAGTAAATAAGATGTGGAATATTATTCAGCCATAAAAAATAAGAAAATCCTGTCATTTGCCACAATATGGGTGAAATAATAATGTTAAGTAAGATAATTCAGAAAGAGAAAGACAAATTCTGTATAATTGCACTTATATGTGGAATCTAAGAAGAAAAAAAAAGAGAGAGTGAGAGAAACCCAAATTCACAGAGAAAGAGATCAGATTCATGGTTACCCGAAGCGAGGGAGGAGGATGGGAACTGGATGAAGGTGCTCAAAAGGTACAAACTTCCAGACAAACAGGTACTAGGGTGCATGTAAAACGTGATTACTAGCTAACACTGAAGGATGGGAAAAGTAACTGCTAAGGGTTCTCATCACGAGGAAATGAACCTTTTTCTTTTTCTTTTTTATATCTATATGAGATGATGAGATGAATGCTAACTAAACATTGTGGTCATAATTTCATAGTACATGAAAGTCAAATTATTATGCTTACACAATTAAGCTTCTACAGTGCTGTGTTCAATGTTCAGTGCTGATGTCAATTATCTCAATAAAACTTAAAAAATAATAAATTTAATGAGTAGGCCCATTTAAATACAGTAAGGAATAAAGCAGAAACCAGCAAAAAAAGATATGTCGAAAATCTTCAAGACAACCATTTCAGCTTTCTCCGTATTTCCCCATAATTTGCAACAGGGGTGCTGGGAAGCTGCGCACGAGAGGATAGACACTGCTCCTGAAATAAACGCCTTCTGCAGAAGCAATGTTTTAGCTCTGAGCGGGGATTCTGAGGTGAAGGGAGTGTTCCAAATCAACAGACAGATAAGAAGTTGGGATCACCTTGCAGCTATACTAACTCTGCTTCCTACACAGAATGAGATGCTGCCTTCAGGGATCTTCAGAAGCCGCAAGGCAACTGGCATGCATTTCGGAAGGGGAATGAAAAGAGAAACACTGGGCAACATTCCCAAGACCTCATTTCCTCCATCTACAGGTGGGTGGGGTGAGTGTGGATTTCCACAGTGTTGGGGAAATCATACTTATAACTATTTACTTAATAGTTATATTAACTAATATATTGTATTGTTTAAGGAGAAATTCACAGATCATTGATTTTTTTCCCTCAAATTCTAATGAAGACAGTCAATTTCAGATTCACTCACCAAATATTCATTGAATATCTGCTATATATCTAACATTATGCTACTTGGAGGTATAAACAAATTAATAAAAATAATTAATGAAGCATGTCTTTCTGAGCTTTGAGGTGAAAAGAAGAAATATATAAATAAATGGTTTGCATAACAACCCAATAGGTGCTAATTGTGGACAGATAAACAAATTTCTAGGTACACATGGGCATACTCATTTTATTGCTTTTGTGTGCTTTGCAGATACTGTGGTTCTTACACAAACTGAAGGTTTCTGGCAACCCTGTGTCCAGCAAGTCGACAGGTGCCATTTTCCCAACAGCATTTGCTGACTTTGTGTCTCTGATTCACATTTTGATAATTCTCACAATATTTCGTGCGGTTCCATTATTACTATATTTGTTACAGTAATCTGTGATCAATGATGTTTGATGTTACTGTTGTAATTGCCACAATCCACACTATCATAGAGCGGTGAACTTTATTAATAAACGTTGTGTGTGTTCTGACTCCTCCACTGACCAGCCATTCTCCCATCTTGCACTCTCTCCTTGGATGTCCCCATTCCCTGAGACACAACAATATTGAAATCAGGCCAACTAATAACCTTACAATGGCCTCTAAGTGTTCAAGTGAAAGGAAGAGTCACACCTCTCTCATGTTAAATCAAAAGCTAGAAATGATTAAGCTTAGTGGGGAAGGCATGTCAATAGCTGAGCTGGTTTGAAAGCCAGGCCTTTTGCACCAAACAGCCAAGTTATGAATGCAAAGGAAAAGTTCTTGAAAAAACTGAAAGTGCTACTCCAGTGAACACAAGTGATAAGAAAGTAAAACAGCCTTACGGCTAATGTAGAGAAACTTTTAGTGGTCTGGATAGATCAAACCAGCCATGACATTTCCATAAGCCAAACCCTAATCCAGAGCAAGGCCCTAGCTCAGTTCAATTCTATGCACACCAAGAGAGGTGAGGAAGCTGCAGAAGAGCTGGAAGCTAGCAGAGGTTGGTTCATGAGGTTTAAGGAAACGTGAAGCAGCAAGAGCTGATGTACAAACTGCAACAAGTTATCCAGAGATCTAGCTAAGATAATTTATGAAGGTGGCTACACTAAACAACAGACTTTCAATGTAGGATGAACATCCTTCTATTGAAAGAAGATGGCACCTTGGATTTTAATAGCTAGAGAGAAGTCAACACCTATCTTCAAAGAGCTCCAAAGAACAGGCTGACTCTCTTCTAGGGGCTAATGTAGCTGGTGACTTTGAGATGAAGCCACTCCCAAAATCATAGGGCCATTAAGAATTATGCTAAACCTACTGTGCCTGAGCTCTAGAAATGGAATAATAAGGGCTGGATGACAGTGCATCTGTTTATAACATGGTTCACTGCATATTTTAAACTCACTGTTGAGACAAACTCCTCAGAAAAAAAGATTCCTGTCAATATGAGTGCTCACTGATAATTCACCTAGTCACCAAAGAGCTCTGATGGGAACGTATAGGGAGATTAATCTTGTTTTCACACCTGCTAACACAACATCCATTCTGCAGTCCATAGATCAAGGAATAATTCTGCATTTCAAGTTTTAGTAAGAAATACATTCTGTAAAGCTGTAGCTGCCACAGATAGTGATTGCTCTGAAAGATATGGGCAGAATAAATTGAAAACCTTTTGGAAAGAATTTACCATTCTAGATGCCATTAATAACATTTGTGAGTCATGGGAAAAGGTCAAAATATCAACATTAACAGGAGTTTGGAAGAAGTTGATTCCAACCCTGATGGGTGACTTTGAGAGGTTGAAGACTTCAGTGGAGAAAGTAACTGCAGATGTGGTAGAGACAGCTAGAGAACTAGTATTAGAAGTGAAACCTGAAGATGTGACTAAATTTATGCAATCTCATCAGAATATTTTAACAGATGAGGAGTTCTTTCTTTTAGATGGGCAAACAGAGTGGTTTCTTGAGATGGAATCTACTCCTGGTGAAGATACTGTAAAGACTGTTGAAATGACAACACAGGATTTAGAATACTACGTAAACTTAGTTGATAAAGCAGCAACAGGATTTGGGAGGATTGACTCCAATTTTAAAAGGAGTTCTATTGTAGGTAAAATGCTACCAACAACATTACATGCAGAGGTTGCGAGAAGCAGGTTTTTTAGTATAAGAGGGTAGGGTCCTCTTGGTTCTCATGAGAAGATGTGATTGGTTTGACTGAATCATTTGATGGCTGGCAGCATGCTGGAACCTGCAACTCAGGGATAAGCAGATACTGTGCCTGATCCCTTTGATAAGAAGGGTCATGTGGTGAAGGAAACTTGTCTGTGGGAACAGATTGGGGAGCAGAACTTGTGATTAGTCCATTTAAGTCTCTTTCAGTTTCCCCCAGATCAAGAATACATAGTATTAGGCTTTAGTTTTATGCCTTATACTACAGCAATATAGGTCATGTATGAATACCCAGTAATAAGAACTTACTACAGTGTGTGTGTATATGTGTGTGTTTTAAGCCAGTCCTGCCCTGGCCAGGTGTCTCAGTTGGTTGGAGTATAGTCCTATACACCAAAAAGATATGAGTTTGGTCCCAAGTCAGGGCACATATGTAGGTTGTGGGTTCAATCCCCAGAGTGCATACCAGAGACAACCGGTAGACGGTTCTCTCACATTATGTTTCTCTCTTTCAGTTAAATTGATAGCCGTTTCCTCACTATTTCTGTATCTTTTGTCTTTGGTATCAGTGCACATAAAACAACTGAAAACCGAGGACCCATGGCAGCCTTTCACATACCTACCATTAGCTATTGTAAGGGATATTTGTTGGCTTCCTCTTAGTTGCCTATTTTTCTGTTCCAATGGAACCTCAAAACAGCCAAGTATTTTGGGAGAGACTGATCATATCTATGATGGTTTGTGTCAACTTGCATAGGCCACAGGGCCCAATCACTTAATCAAACACTCATCTAAGTGTTGCTGTGAGGTATTTTGTAGATATGGTTAATATTACAACCAGTTCACTTTAACTAAAAGATATTACCTTCAGTAATGTGGGTGTGCCTCATCCAATGAGCTGAAAGGCCTTAGGAGCAAAAACTGAGATTTCCTAGAGGAAGAAGAAATTCTTCCTCAAGACTGCAATATCGGCCCATGTCAATTTCCAGCCTGCTGGCCTGCCCTACCAATTTCAGACTTGCCAGTCTCCACAACTGTGTG